CCCCTGAGAACAGGTCTTCAAGTTAGCTTTACGCATGAAGACTGGTCCTTGAGCTCTTGCCAAGGTTGAGAGGCTGAACCTGGGACTCCATTAATCTGCGAACCTGGAAGAGAGCTGGCTCCCAAGAAATATAAATATAAATCTTCTAGAGGAAAGCAACCTCAATTTAGGACTCTGGCTTTTCACATTTTAAGGTTAACCAGATACGAGTTTCAATCAAATATCACCAAATGCATAAAAAAGCAAACCACTATGAATGAGGGTTAGCATAAACAATAGACAATAAATGTAAATTCCCAGAAGTTTCAGATATCAGAATTACCAAATACAAAACACACCATAGCTTAATAAATAATGAACACTCAACAAGAGACTATCAAAAGTTACCGAGCAAATTTTGTAAAAATCACATGGCATTTATAGAAATGAAAAAATAAGTAATTATTGATAATAAAAAAAATACAATGTATGAGTTAAACAGCAAATTAACTACAGTTGAAGAAAGAATTAGTGAACTGGATGCAGATCTGAAGAAATCTATACCATTTTATAACAAAATATAGAACAGAGAATCATGGATGTAGAGAAAGTAACATGAGATTAAGGGATATAGAGGACAAAAGCAAAAGGTTTAACATACATCTAAACAGAGTCCCAGGAGGAGAGGATAGGGATAATACAGACAAAGCAATCTTTAAAGAGAGCATGGTTGAAACTTTTCCAGACCTTATGAAAGATATGAATCCCCAGACACATGAAGCACATCCTATATCAAGCAGGATAAATTTTAAAAATCTACTTTTCAGGCCAGCCCGATGGCACAGTGGTTAAGTTCGTGCGCTCTGCTTCTGCAGCCCAGGGTTTGCGGGTTCGGATCCTGGGTGCAGACCTATGCACTGCTCCTCAAGGCACGCTGTGGCAGCGTCCCACACACAAAGTAGAGGAGAATTGGAATGGATGTTACCTCAGGGACCATCTTCCTCAAGCAAAAAGAGGAAGATTGGCAACAGATGTTAGCTCAGGGCTGATCATCCTCACCAAAAACAAAAATCTACCTCTAGATAAAATGAGGTGAACTTGAAGCACCTTAAAGACAAAGAGAACATATTAAAAAGCAATCAGAAAGGAAAGAAAGATTGTCACAAAGAATAACTGTATGGTTAATAGCAAACTTCTCAACAGCAATCACGGAAGTCCAAAGACTGGAGTGAGATCTTTAAAGTGCTGAGAGAAGAATACCTATAAAGTTACAGTTGTGAGCCCAGTAATATTATCTTTCAGCTACAAGGGCAAAAGAAATGATATTTTCAGATAAATAAAAACTGAAACAGTTTACCACCAACACCACCTACTCGAAAGGAATTTTCTAAAGGATTAGTTTAGAAGAAGGAAAATGAATCTAGAAAAAAAGCTTGGAAGAAGAAAGCAAAGAACATTGTGAGCATGTAAGTAAATCTAATACAGATTTACTTAATAAAATGATGATGATAATTATGACATCTAATTTGTGGAGGTTTAATAAAAAGAAACAAGCTGAAATGCAAGAAAACAACATACTCGTCAATTAGGAGAAGGGTAGTAAGAGTTAATGTTCTAAGGATCTTGTCTGTCAGGGGGATGTTTAAGATATTGTTTGTAGTCTTTGTTAAATATGCAAGGTAAAATTTTGTGGGTAACCACGAGGAATGGAAATAGAGTGTTTAATTTCCACAGCAGGTAGAGGGCAAAATTATGTAGAAGAAACAAATACAACAGGCTTATTTTCATCAAATAATAAAATCGACCAGACTTGTAGTTGTGAAACCTTTGTAGAGTATTCAGGTATTAAAATTGGGTTGGGGTGGGAACAGTGCTGGCATTTCCACAGTAATAATTAAACCCGAGCAGAAAAAGAAGAAGGAGTGTAAGAAGATTCCAGGGATTGTTGGTAGAAGGGAAAGATAGGAAAGCTTTTGTACAGAGACGTCAAAAGCTGAAGGGGTTGTGTCAGCATAGACAGATTTCTCCATGCCTTGGGCAGAGGCCAGAGGCCAGAGGCAGAGCCATGCCAGTCGATGAATGAGGCTGACAGATGCTGAGGGAAGAACAGGGTATTGATACTCATGTCCATCAAATTAGCACGTGTACTGCATCTCATAGAAGCCTTCCTCCTAACCTCAGCCTTGGCCAGAGAAGTTTAAGGGGGGTGAGAAGGTAGGAGAACAAGGTGACGTCTCCCCAGGCAGCACCCAGGACAGCTACCACCCTGCCACTCCCTACTTAGACATGGAGGGAGGCTGAGGCAGAAGCGACAGGGTGTAGGCCTTCGTACAAGCCTTCGAGGAAAGACCCAGACAGACAGACAGAGCTGGAAGCTGGAGGGAAACCCTGGATATCATGGGAAAATGTGCCCAAACACAAGTGCTTCTATGTTTAATCACTGCCTCCTTGCCTTCCCAAATAAGACGTTAGGGCACCCTGATCTACACCCATCTCTGACCCTGCATGCCCAGAATTCTCTTCTGCTACTTAAAAGTGTCAACTTATTAAACAGGAAAACACACAAACAGAACATGTTTAGAAGAATACACCATAAAAATAAGGGACATAAAAATGCATCTGAGGGGCCGGCCTGGTGGCCTAGTGGTTAAGTTCACACACTCCACTTCAGCGGCCCGGGGTTCACGGGTTCGGATCCCAAGCACGGACCTACACACCACTCATCAAGCCATGCTGTGGCAGCGTCCCACATACAAAAATATAGAGGAAGATTGGCCCAGATGTTAGCTCAGGGCCAATCTTCCTCACCAGAAAAAAACATGCATCTGAGTGATAGTAACTAACATTTCTATCCTGCTTACTCTATGCCAGGAACTATTCTAAGTGCTTGACATATATTGATCATATATATATGATCTCATTGAATCTTCATGTACCCAAGACCACACAGCTAATAAGAGGCAGAGCTGGGATTCAAACATAGACATTCTGGTTCCAGAGTCTTCACTCTTAAATACTATGCTACTTCTGAGTGGTTGGTGGATATTTTACCTGGAGAAGATAGAATTCCAGGTTGGTGCTATGGACTGAATGCTTGTGTCCCCCCAGAATTCATATGTTAAAGCCCTGATGCCCAATGTGATGGTATTTGGAGGTGGGGCCTTTGGGAGGTGAGTAGGTCATGAGGACAGAGCCCTCATGAACAGAATTAGTGTCCTTATAAGAAGAGACATACGAGAGAGATGATCTCTCTGCCACGTGAAGACACAGTGAGAGGTCAGCCATCTGCAAACCAGGAAGAGGGCCCTCACCAAGAACCCAACCATGCTGGCACCGTGATCTCAAACTTTCAGCCTCCAGAACTAGAAGAAATGTTGGTTGTTTAAGCCACTCAGTCTATGGTATTTCTTAGAGCAGCCCGAACTGATTAAGACAGTTGGGAAATGATGAGTTATCTTCAAATGTTTGAAGGATTAAACTTATTCTTTATGGACCAAAGAGATTAGAATTAAGAAAGTGGCTCTTTTCAGCTTACTTTGTAACAGTCAGAAGTCCCCGAAGAAGAAATGAGTTTTCTCAGATGGTGCTGATTTCTCCATCACTGGAGGCCAAATGCACCGAGTGTTAAGAATATGGAGAAGATTTCACCATTGAGTAGGTAGTCAGATGAGACCCTCGATAAAATCTCCTCCAACTCTTGAGAGTCTATAGGACCGTGAGGGTCAGGGCTAAGAGCTCAGATCCAAAGAACTGGGTATTAAGGACTCAACTTTTACAACAGCCAATTTTCCACTTAGCTTTGTTCCTGGTCATCTTGAAGCCAGAATTTGCATTTGTATATTTTAAGACTCTACACACCTGGATACCCTTCCTTCAACGGTCAGCTTAGATGTCGCCTCCTCCAGGATGTGTTCCCCACTCCATCCCTCATGCCAGCTTAGGTGCCCACCTCACCCCCTCTTTCCCCAACCATGCCACTTCTTATACTATAGTGAATTGTCTGTTTTGTAGTCAGTCATTCCCTGTGTTAGTTTCCTAGGGCTGCAGTGATAAATTACTACAAATGGGGTGGCTTAAAACAACAGAAAATTATTGCCTCACAGTTCTGGAGGCTAGAAAACCAAAATCTAGGTGTCCACAGGGCCAGGCTCCCTCTGAAGACTCTAGGGGAGCATCCTTTTTTGCCTCTTCCTGGCTTCTGGTGGTTGCTGGCAATCCTTGGTCTTCCTTAGCTTGAGGCTGTATCACTCAAATTTCCGCCTCCATCTTCCCATGGCCTTCTCCCCCTGTGTCTGTGTCACTGTGTGTCTCTGTCTTCTTCACATAAGGACAGTAGTCATATCGGATTTAGGGCCCACCCTAATCCAGTATGACCTCATCTTAATTTAACTAGTTACACCTTCCAAGATCCTATTTCCCAATAAGGTCATGTTCACAGATACTGGGAATTAGGACTTCAGTATATCTTTTGGGGGGATATAAGTCAATCAACAACATCCCCCAAACTTGCATGCTCACTAGACTGCAGTTCTTTGAAAACCGTATCTTTATTCCACATATTTTTATTGTGTCTACTATTGGGCACTGAGTACAAGTCACAGTCAAGGTCCCTACTCTTGGTAGAGCTTTGCTTCTACCTGAAGACAGACAATTAAAAAGTGGCCATTCAATGTTGAAGCCAAATGCCAAGCATATAAATGTATATATATAAACCACTTAATATATATATGATGAAGGATATTAACACAAACAGCAGAAAACGAAGGATAACTTGTTCTACTTCATCTAGCCCACGCTTTTTGGTATGTTCATCAGTCTAAAACTTTGGTTTCTCTCTGTCCCTTGCAAAACTTTGTTCTCTGGTACTTGCATTCTTATTCTGAGTTGGTCCCCCTAAACTAACCCTCCAAATAATGTTTTTTAGTATAAGACAATAAAGTGTGCAAAATGTATTCCTAATCTTTTTTTTTAATTCAAACTTGCAACTAAAGAAGAAAATGCTTGCTCTCTTTGCCTTCCAGGGCAGCGTCAGTTCCTCTCAGTCTCCATTTGTCCAGACGCCAGGTGAGTGCTTCAGTTCAATGAGCAATTCATTAATTCGCTTTTGAGTTTAAACCGGGCATTTGGGCTTCCATTCTTTTATAACAGCTTTACAGCACTTTCAAAACTTTGCTTCTTTAAAATAGTTATTTTTTAAATACAAAATCAGTGAAGACAGATCTCATTCAGTCATTCCTGAATTTAAAATTCATTCTATATTGAAGGTAAATCCCTTGCCTAGAAGAAGTTTATTGGGCAAAAGCAATAGCAATTAGGCCCTTGATACAATTTAAAAATGTCTGAAATTCTGGCACCATGATCTGATAGATTATGCACCTGCTTTAGAACAGAGAGGGAGACCTGCTGGAAGATGCAGGAACTACCGTTTACCTGCGTGCTCTCTATATGTCAGGCATTTAGTTCAGCATTTTGTATTCATTTCAATAAATATGTCTCATACAATATTGCTATGGGGATGGAAAAGGGGTATTGTTAATAACAGTGTTGGGCACTCCCATACCCGTGCACACATGCACACACGTGCATGCACGCACACACACACACACTCCTTCCAGATCTCAAACTCAAAAGTGGCATAGGCTTTCTCAATAATTTTACTAACCCTCAGAGTTGGGTAAGGGAAAGGAATTAAAGCAGTAGAAGATCCCACATATCTGAATGTCTCCATGTTGTGTTTCCCAATCATATTTACAGTCACTGAAACCCGGTTCCATCTTCTCCTTTCTATAGAAGAAAATCTCTGCCACTTCTCTAGAATTATTCTTCCTTTTTAAGGAGAAAGGTATATGCTTAAGAGAGTGGAGGGTTTTTTCTTTGTGATTGCTTTTATTTAGAAATTGGAAATATAGACATGAGACCCTGGAAGCCCAGTTTACATATTCTTCATTCTGTTCTCAGCCTTAACCACTCCTGTGGATATAAATTCCTGGTGTGAAACAGAACCTTATTTATTGATATTAATTTTCACTTGTGCCAATTTTTTTCCAAGGAAGGATGCTTATGATGAAACCCCCAACTGCAGCTTTCAAATTCATGAGCAGATTAGAAGTTTGGGGCTATAGAATTTAAGATGAAAGTGGGGTGAGTAGAATTGTGCTGTAAGTTTCTATGAGGAATTTTGATTTCCTCTGAATAAATGAATAAATTTACATGTAATTGTTGAACACAGTGTTATACTACTGGGTTTACAGAAGATGTGTAAGACATAAGCTCTGCCCCCATGGAGCTTGCAGGTCAGAGGAAAGAGGATTGTAACTCAGGTGAGAGAGTAGTGAGCATAATCTGAAGTGTCATTTCATGTGGCAGGGGCCAAAGTGCTGTGTATGTAGAGAAATGCATGACTGAGCTGTGATAAGAAAGGAGAAGGGTCTTGATGAGTCTGTCTCCTCTCCCTGCAGAAGAGTGGGCAGGGTGGGCAGGGACAAAGCTCAGAAGTGGTCCACTGTGGTGGGGGGAGGTAAGAAAGGCACGCACCTGCATCTTCCTCCCAAGTCCGGCTTCTGTGACCTCTGGGTGTAGGTCTTAGCTAATTAGACCACACCCACCCCAGCTGGAAACAATCAGTTCTACAGACCTTGAGTCTATGCCCCTGAACATGTTCTAGATGATAATGTGTTTCCTGCTACAACTGAGCTCTGGCGTCAGAAAGTCTTTAGCAAACACATCTCTTCTCTTCTGGGACCATTTCACTGGCCTTCCCCTAAATGAGACTCTTCTCAGTTTCAGCCTCTTCCCTGTTTTTGCCAGGGGAAACTTGCTCTTCGCAAACTTGCAGTGCCCCGGAGAGCTGAGTGAGGGACTCAGTATGGCCACAAGAGGGCAGCAAATAAGTGAGACATCAAAGCCAGAGAACATTTTTTTTGTGTGGTCGTCTTAACTTGACTGCACAGAAGCCATATGATCCCAAAGCACTCAAGCCATTTCTTGATGCCTGCTAGGTGCGAGGCATCAGGTTAAAGATCAATATACAAAGAATTAGAAGAAAAGTACAACCCGCCTCTGATTTGGGGTGGGGTTACAGTATCATCTTATCTAGAGATGCTGAATCTCAGACAATGTGCCCAGAAGCAGCCTCTTGTTAACAGTCCTGTGTATATGGGGACAGAGCTCAGAAGCCGTGAAAAAGATGCTCATTCTATAAAATGTAAATGCCAAGGGATTCTTATCTCTTTAAGCCCAACCCCTTCCTAGGAGTGCCTGGCACATAGATGATGCACAATAAATGTATGTTGAATGAGTGAATGATTGACCAGTTATTGCACTGCCTAAAATGAATTCATCCCCAAAGACAGAGTGAACTTGAAACACAATAGTCATTGGGTTGGACCAGTTAAAAGAGGCAATGCAGCAATATTTAATGCTTTTCAAGACATTTATCTATTTAAATGTTAGCCTTGGTGTCAGTCATGTGTGAGACACACCATTTCACACGTGGAGAGACTCAGCTGCAACACAGATGCCTTGACTTTGCCATGAGGAAATTTTGCCCTTTTGTTTTTCATTTGCCAACAGGTTCACCGGTAATGTCAGGTTACTATGGCGTCAGAAGATCTTTCCTATCTGACTCAGACTTCCACAACACTAAACAGTTTGCAAACGACGTCTGCACCTCGGGCGTGGCGAAGCCCTTTCCCTGCGAGTCCTCCGCAGGGCAGAGCCACCCGGCCCTCCTGGATTCCTACTTCCCGGAGCCCTACGGAGACCACCGCCCCCCGGCCCTGACCCCCAACACCGGCTCTCTGTTCAGCTCCTCGCCCCTGCCGCCGCTGCTGCCACCGCCCTTCCCCAGCGATCCCACACACTTCGTGCTGGTGAGTAGACAGAGATTTCACGTTTAGGGAGTAAGGTAAGGTCTGGACTCATGCGCATCTGGCCAGTGCATGCACTCGGGTCTGGCTCCCGGTCTGGCTCCCTGGAGACCCCTGAGGCTGCTCTGCAGCTGGCCCGCGAGATGCCAGGACGGGCCACTCTGCCAGGATACACTCCGAGGAGCCTTCCTCAAAGATCCATGCCAACTACCACAGCAAGAGGGCCTATCCCGGGGTTTGGGCCAAGATGACTAATAAGGCAGGATTTATATCTATTTTGTTAATACTCTGCTTTTGCCAAATGTCCCCCGTCATTCCTTCAGAACATAAGGAAAGAGCACTGAAGTTACATCTCAGACACAATCTCCCAGGGCAGGCACGTCGGTGCTTCTCTTTCCCTCCCACTCGGCTGCCTCCCCTCCCCCACAATATTTCTACCCTACAGAATCTTGTCCTCTCATAATCCTTCCAGAAAGATGAGTTCATAATGATCTGAAGAATACTAACACCCTTCTTATAAAAAACTGTAAAGCCTTCAACCACAAAGGAATGAATCTCTAAAGATGGAATTTTAGACAAAAGGCAGTGGGGATTAACATTATTGAGTAGCTACTCTAGGGAACTTTTATGTGCCTTTGTTTATTTAATACTTGGGATATAGTTATTAAAGCACCATTTTACAGATTAACAACATGAAGTGCTCAGAGTCAGGAAGGTAGTAAGTGGCACAGCCATGCGTTGAACCCAAATCTTTCCAGCTCAAAGCCTACAAGGTTCCTACCTCTTTACTCACCGAGGGCAGGGTGGTTTTCCTAGCCCACTCAAAAACCTACTCCTTCCAGGAGTAGCCGGCGCTGACTCCCCAGCTGTGGAAAGGGCGTTCTAGGACCCCAGGATTGTGAAGCTCAAAAAGAATGCAAGACACAATGTGTTGTAAATCGTAAAATGCTGTATAAATGTCCATTTTGTTATTCTCACATTTCACTCATTTAATGTTGTTTTCTGGGGAAAGGAATCTTCGTATATATAGGGAATCTAATTCTAGAGTAAGAAAGGAGCTAAAACTTCCACTGCTGCTGTCAATCACCAGAGGGAAGCGCTATGTGGTAAGGAGGATTCCGAGAGCAGAGGGAAGACACCAGGTCCGCTCTGGAAGCCCTGGTCCAGCAGCGCGCCCTGTTGGGGAGGAAATCTGTCCCATCAGAGTCTCAACTAATGACTAACCCCAGTGACCTTTCCATTCTCCTCAGAGGGACTCGTGGGAGCAGACGGTGCCCGACGGTCTCAGCCAACCAGACCCCGTGCACGCCGATGCCCTGCAGACCTTGCCGCCCGGAACAAGTTGCCTCTCCCAGCTGGAATCGGGGAGCTCCGCCCAGCACAGGAGCCCTAGCTGGGGGGTCCCCCTATCTACAGCTCAGTCCTACTCACTGCATGCTCTGGAGGATCTGTACCACACGCCGGGGTACCCCACCCCGCCCCCCTACCCCTTCACCCCTTTCATGACGATGTCGAATGACCTGCCGCCCAAGGTGGTGTCCCTCTCCCCAGACGAGGGAGCAGACACCTCTGCCCTTCAGGACCCTTCTGCATGGGCGAAAGAAGATGGGAGCACGGCGTGGGGGCTGTACGAATGCCGCAGAGCTTACTGAGGGGTGCGCCAAAGGACTTCTACTATGCTTTTCTTTAACTTGGGTCTGTATTCCAGATGGTTTTCAGTGTGGCAGCTCATTCAGGACTGGATTTTCAGGATAAGCCATCATGCCACCCTTTGTTAATGGACATGGCATTTATTTGTAATCCTCCCCACCATAACCCCACTGAAACACAACACAATGTTAATTCAATACATCAGGGACCCTATTCTAGTGAGACAACCTGACAGTGAGGTCTTTGGGGAACCTTAGGAATCCATTACATTCTGAATCTTCTGTTACCTTTGAAGTATCATTTTTGGCACTGGTATTTTTTTCTTAAATTACATTAAAATTTATGAAGATCATAAAACATACTGATTTTCCTGTCCAATTTTTCTTAGTTATGAACTATGAGTGTTCCTTAGTAAAAGAGAATGAATAGAATATAATATAGATTAGGGCACATGAAACAACTGACATTCAAGTATGAAGCGTTATATACATTTCTCTCCTTACAGTGACTTGTAAAGGCCCAGTAACAAATATTGGCACCACACACGAATGCTTTATTGTCATTAAAATAGGATGAGGTCAGGAGACTCTGGCTTCATAAACATATAGTTTTGACTCTGCCCTAAAGCCCAGGATGTCCAAAAATTAGGCTAATCCAAAAAACAATAAAGGCCAAAAACTTGCTTTGATCAATGGTAGCCTTAATTAAGCTAGACCTTGTCTCTCTGATGGAATAAAGTTACAATTCAGAGTGGATTAGTAACATGGGAATTCTGGGATCAAATAAGAATGCATGCATGGGGCCGGCCTGGTGGCATAGCAGTTAAGTTTGCATGCTCCACTTTGGCAGCCTGGGGTTCACCGGTTTGGATCCTGGGCACCGACCTACTCACCACTCATCAAGCCATGCTGAGGCGGCGTCCCACATAGAAGAGCTACAACTCTACAACTATGATACACAACTATGTACTGGGGCTTTGGGGAGAAAAAAGAAAAAGAGGAAGATTGGCAACAGATGTTAGTGCAGGGCCAATCTTCCCCAAAAGAAAAAAAAAAAGAATGCATGCATTGTAAAGAAAATACAGAGAGGAGGACTGGGCTCCTGGCAAGAAACAAGAGAACACAGAACACCAAGAAGCAAAGGGGCTTTGGAGAAGGACCTATTGTCAGGTGTGCACCAGTAGCATTACACACAACATCTTCCATTTGGAGGAAGACCTTGTTGGTGGCTCATCGGTCAGAAATGTACCACTCTTACTATGTATAAGTGAAGAAAGTGACATCTGAAGCGTTCGTCTTGGGAGAGTTCGATTGGTGTAGATTCCTTTGCCATTATGTTCCCAGAGTAATTCCCACCAAGCAGTGTGCCCCTCTGCAGACCAAGCCCATCATAAATGCCTTGCACAAACTCTGACTTTGCATTGCATGAGCCGAGGCCCACGGGTTACATCCACACTCCTGCTCCCAACTTCCTACCACCTTCCTTTCTTTACCACGTTTTTCGGATCCCCCTGGTCCCTCCTGATCCAATGCCTTTTCCCTCCATCTCCTGGGGTCCCAATGCTCTCATTTTTTACCTGGTTTCCCAAAGCCCCTCAATACAGTCTCCATCACATCCTCTGTGACAGTGTCCCATGCTGTCCCTCAGCTAAGTAGGAGTCCAAAAAATCTAATTAAGGATATTAATTCACACTTAGAAGTGAATAATTCTTATTCTTCCTTCTCCAGGCGTTCAAGGGCATTTTCTGGTCAAGGAAACATACTCCTAATTTATGGAGTGCCTGCAGAAATGCCTGGATAGGGAGACTTCTTTTATCTCACACCCCTCAGTTCCCTCCCGGGAGAGCATCCCCACAGGAGCAGATCAAGGAGGAGCTCTGGGTCCTCAGCTCTGGGCTGCACTCTGCCCGGTCCCTTGCCTGACTCATTCCCTCCTACCACTTCTTTTCACAGCCTGATCTTCAGTTTCTCAATATTTGCTCTTTAATGAAAGGAGGCAACTTCCACTGTAGGAGAGAGTGCTGCTCTTTCTTAAGTCTGGTGACTTGGGACCTCAGTCCTGGTTCCCTGTGTCCTTGGCAGAGCCACCTGCCATCCAGCATCACTCATACCTGGACAGCAGGCCTGTGCATCAGAAGAAAGAGACCTGGCCCTCTCTATATATAGATTTAGGGGTCTTCACAAGGATCTCAAAGTCATTTCTCTAGATTGGTTGTGTAACATTTATAATAATCACAATTATCTCCTGCTTACCACATGTTACTAAGTAACACACAATAATGGTTGTGTAAATCACAAATATGGGTCCACATCACTTTAACTTTGATTATAACACTAATGTTGGGCATGCTCATTTCTCTTAGTTTGCTGTTATCTACTCACGAACAATGTTCATCTCACAATCTGAGGATGCATCGGCTCTCAGACAAGTAGAGCTCAGCAACCAGACCTGGAATTAGAAGTAAATGCACTGAGTGCAGGAGTGTCTACATTCTTCTTAAAGCAGCCAGGCCCTGTCACAGTGTTTGAGAAAATTAATTTCTAAAGAAGGAGACCTACACCAGCCCATACTCCATTTAATATCCATTCCAGTCACCTCGTCTACAGTGGGGTCCGGGAGTGGGGAGTGGTGCTAGTGATTCCAAATGGTAAATGATTTTTAAGAATTCTATTTAGCTTGACACTGTGTTGCTATATTACACATATTTTAATTCAGTTCTGTTTCATTGTTCTGGGAATTTACAATACTTTGTTAAAAAGTGAAAGCAAGCTACAAAATTATGACGGAAATTAATGATATTTCCCTACCCCATTTCCCAACCAAGCACGCTCTATCTCCTACTGCATGCTGGGGACTAACTGCAACACTTCATAACACTGCACAAGGCCAGCATAAGAAAAAAATACACATTCTTCTCTCCCTCTCCTTCCTTAAACTTGCTGTTCTAGGACTCATAGCCTTCCTGGGACAGCCGGAGAAAATTAAAGAGCTCAGGTTCAAAATGCCATCTCTTTCAGGTCCCTTAAGATTCAAAGTAAGCAGAGATGTGATGTCGAGTTCAAGCTACTTAAGAAAGTTGACTAGAGGATAATGTCAAGAAGAAGTGGAAAGTGGGGCTGGCCCTGTGGCATAGCAGTTAAGTGCGCGCGCTCCGCTACTGGCGGCCCGGGGTTTGGATCCCGGGCGCGCGCAGACGCACCACCTGTCAGGCCATGCTGAGGCAGCGTCCCACAGAAAGTGGAGGAAGATCAGCACGCATGTTAGCCCAGGGCCGGTCTTCCTCAGCACAAAGGGGAGAATTGGCATGGAGGTTAGCTCGGGGCTGATCTTCCTCACAAAAAAAAAAGTGGAAAGCAAAATTTGCCCAGGCAAAAGCTGCATTATACATAGTCCTCCCATAAATCACTGGAAACAGACATTACAGTATGTAGTTGACAATGTTTGTGTTTCTCTTGCAATGTTATACAAACCCCAAAGAATGAGAGAAGAAAACCACATCTTTGCCTCATTTACTTAATAAATGCTTTTAAATGAGCATTATGGCTTGCTACAGCTCAGTAAACAATACAATATGATGGTACTATTGTGGTAGGGGAATAAGTACTTTAGTACTGAAGTACTAGAATACTCTAAAAGAAATTCTACAACGGGAAAAGAATTACCAACCCCAATAGTAAAACATATATTTACATACATACATACATACATATATATATACATATATATAAAAGTATTACTAGCATCTTTATGACCCATTTTTCAATATGTAAATCTAAATAATACATTCATAATAAAATATCAGTTATATTTAAAGAACTGAAATAACAACTAACGTCCAAGATTTAATTCACATTACATTATAGTGATTCTACCAACTTTACACCAAAATTATACTCTTTCTTTAGGTTCTATGATTAGGTTCTGTTTACGGTATCCTCTCTATTCAAAACAATATTACACTGTTCTTCTTATACACCACATTCAGTAACTATTGACTCTAGAGAGGTTATGTACAAAATCATATACTCTAGCTTAACAAGTGAGTCTCTAACTAGACCCACCTAGCAGAGGACTCATGAATGGCTCAGCAATGCGTCCCCAGCACCTGGTTTAATGCCCAGGATGTTGTAGTTGCTCAGTAAAATCTTTGTTAAATGGAACTAAAATTATACCACAAAGATGAATAACTATTTAGACCCTGACTCTGCCGGTAACCACTCTTGGAAACTAAGGGAAGGAGAAAATGCTCACTGTGTTTAGTATTTAACAATAGCCATACTCTGCAAATTCTGACAGTAGTAGACACTGAGCTTTAGTGATAATATATTTAAGATGATTGATTTAGTATTTTTTTTTCCCCCAAAGCCCCAGTAGATAGTTGTATGTCATAGTTGCACAGCCTTCTAGTTGCTGTATGTGGGACGCGACCTCAGCATGGCCAGAGAAGCGGTGCGTCAGTGCGCGCCCGGGATCCGAACCCGGGCCGCCAGCAGTGGAGCGCACGCACTTAACTGCTAAGCCACGGGGCCGGCCCCTGATTTAGTATTTTTAAATGTCTTTAAGAAGGATAATTACTGAACCTTTGAAGTAGCACAGAAAAATGTTTCATTTGGTATCTACATGTACTATAATATATTGCTCAAGTCTTATAAATAAAAGTTATTCAGTGTTTGGTATTATCTCTGGTGTGATTAAAACAAAGATGATAAATAGATCAGGAAGTAGAATCCCCCCAAATCAGGCTAAATAAATCATAACTGAAATCTTCTATAATTATTAGCAAATGATGACACTAAGTTAGCTTTGATCTTTGATATAGAAGTGCCCTGTAATCATAACCTCTGACAAATGTGTGTGTTTGCCATATTCAATGTCATTGCCAGTACATTACAAGCTAAAAGGAGGGAAGAGTAAAAGATTTTTACGAGTTCTAAAAGGAAAAAAATGTGGACAAAACAAATAACATCTAAGAATTAGCTCTTTTGCATTAGGAAAGTTGATAGATGTCCCTGCTAACCTTCTCCCTAACCAAAGAATAATCCAGAAGTTTATGGGTAATAAATTAATTTAGTCATAAGTGAAAGATCACTCAACTGTTTTATTTCCCAACCTTGGTAATATATTCATAGATTTTTAACATGGTATTCTGTATATGTTTTTCTATGTCTTAACATTGCATAATAAAAATGTTTTAAGTAAAAGATGAATTTTCATGCAGTGTCTGATGGTATTTTCCTTATTTAAATGATAAATTATCAAATGCCCATTCCCCCATGGAAGCCTCTTAACGAAAAGTTGAAACTTTGAATATGTTTTATGGGAAGAGACTGACTTAGCACAAATCAGTAAATAATCTCCATCTAATAGTCGTCCTGGGCATTTTCATATGGACCAAACATTCACTCTAGGGCCCAGTAAGTACTTGTTTCCTCCATGTTTTTGGAACTTGATATTTCCCACAAGGTTTGGTAACAGTGTCCCAAAGTCAAAATGACAAAAGAACTTTGCATTAATAAAGAGAATTTAGAGCTGTAGTCAAATTTGGAGGGAATAAACTCTCCCTTTTCCTTATACTGAAAGTCTTTTCATATTCATGTGTCTAAGTTTAATAAAATCTCCTTCTTTGGGGGAAAAATATAATGCTCTGCAGTGTCATTTGCATACAAAAGCCTGCCAAAAAATTTCAGTTGAATATTCGGTTTAAAACTTTAAAAAGAAATGTATTCCAGTCCCATTATTCCGGGTGCTAAGTGACTTTAAGAAGATCAAAGACAAACTAAAGGGTTTCTGAGCTCAGTGGCTCAGAGATCTGAAAAACTATAATATATGAAGAACTAGAGAAACTACAGAGGGCGAGCCTCAGAAAGAGAAGGCTTGGAGTGGAGGGTGGGAATGGGCATAACTTCTTCAGGCTTAGCACTCCTGATCAGAGTAGATAATCAGTATATGCTTGTTGAATGAATGAATGAATGAATGAACCAAACAAACCCATAAAGGAGAAACAGTAGCGTGGAAGTGGGAAATCAGTTATTCCATGTTAATCACAGAGCAGTTAATGGCACAAACCAAGACTTACTTATCTTTGTATTCCTAGTGCTTGATACCATGACTGGTACATAGTTGGTGCTCAATTAAGTCATAATTGGATTTTGGCTTAATCAGTGATCATTGTATTCAAAGCAGTCCAACAGTGGAACAGGCTGCCTTACAAATAGTGAGCTCCCATTCCTCAGCACAAATCTACTATGGGCCAGGAGCTCAGCTAAGGAGTGGAGGGAGCCAGAGGCTGGACGACCACCAGCAGGGATGTTGGAAAAAGACTTTAAGTCTCTCTCGGCACCTCAAAGATCCCTTTCAATATCCAAACGCCAGAACCCCGTGTTATATTTTTAAGCAAGTGAGCATGTTAAAGCCTGTTCAAAGCCCAGAACATTTTTTTCAGTCTTTTATTAAAACCCCAAAATGATTATCAGGACTTCAAGGTAGACACCCTGGAGGTGACAATGCCCCCAGCAAAAGGAAAGAGTTCCCAGTCTGCGAAGCACAAACTGTAATGAGCATCATAAGTGAACAGCTCACTGTCACCTCTAGCCAGCCTCTTCCTCAGGGTTCTGGCATTCCCAGCCTTTACAGAATAATCGCAATTCAGTAGGCTGCACTGCTTTAGTCTCCTCACACACCCCGTTAGTAAAACAGACAGCTCACCAAAATACTTTCATATGCACAACATTGACAAGTGTATTTGCACATCTTACAAGAAGTATTTTTCCAAAGGAAGTCACAACTCATTAGTGGGTCATCAAATTATCTTAGTGACTCCCAACCAACACATATTTTTCATAAACTGAATGAAATGGAAAACACGGAATAATAGAACAGAAAATATCAGAGTGCCTCATATACATAGGTGTAGATTGTTTTATGAAAAGTTTGTTTTATAAATATGTAAATATTGTTACAGATATAGTATGTGAACACGTAAAATGAATTTCCTATTGCGGGTTGAAGTGAAATGAGTTTGAAAGCCTCTGCTATAAAAGATCAGGAAGACAACAATAGTTAAGAACAAGGGTTTTAGCATCAGATTTAGGAAAGTTTGATTCCCAATCCTGCCATTTCTGTGTTCAATAATCTTAGGCATGCTGCTTACCCCTCCAGGCCTGTTTCCTCATTTGCAAAATGGGGAAGCTATACAATACAGTGCCTGACATCCAATAAACACTCAATAAATGACAACTTTTAACAGTCTCCTAAGAGGAACATCCAACTCTATGGGGTGTAAGGGTAGCCCTGGTTGCTCCAGGCCTCATGACACCTGCAGATCTGTAAGGAGGATTCACAGGAGGCATTTAGAAAGGATTCTCCCTTACCCCCACAAGCATGGCATTCAGCTCTTATACCTGTGCTGGGGTTTTGCAATTATAGAAACAGCAGGAACCAAAATTCCTCAACGTTAGGCTAAAAACTGGGAGGCTTCTTTCTCCAAACAGGGCTCAGGCCAGGGGAAACCCCGTTTTCTGAAGTTGCTGGCCAGCAATCACACTAGAACATCCATCCCAGCAGCAGGGGCCAACAGAGAAGCCCCCAGAACTGCTGCATGGTTCAGGCAGAGGCTCCTGGAGGAAGGGACAAAGAGTTCTTTGCTGTCCCTACAGACTTCCAGTGAGCTCACCTAGCCCTGCCTGCCCTATCTACAGGGCAGCCAATCATCAGCATCAACCTCAGTGATGTTGCCAAGGGAACTCAATGGCCTCCTGCCATCCCTGTCCATCTCCACACAAAAGGAGAGGCTTGGAAGGAGATTAAACCTAAAAAAATGAGACAGCACCCTCAACAGGGGAAAACAGAGATGCAGAAGGGGCCAGGGAGAAAAAACAGCAATGCAGACAAGAGACAGACGAAAGCAGTGACAGGAAGAGAAACAAAGAAAAAGAAACTCGGAAAAAAATTAACAGAAAGGACAAAGTGGGAGATTGTAAAAAGCAAACCCAAAAATAAGTAAAACAAAAAGGAGGAAGGCAAAAGAGAGAAGAAGTAATGGAAGAAGCTAGGAGGACGAGAGACATCCCTAATTCCACGCTGCTTTGCTCCCTGTTCATTCAGGGGGTGCAGAGCCCAGGCAGGGCAGGGCAGGGAGAAAGGACCTAGGGGCTCTCTGAACTCCCAGTGTCCTTCCCCTCTTCCCAAGTCTGCCTCAGCCTGACCTCCATCAGGAAAACTCAGGACACAGGCTCAGGAGCCTTTGGAGAAAGAAGCTCTCGAAGCTGATGGATTCCAGCTGGGCTGGAGACAAACACACCCCAGCCTGCCCTCCAAGGTCAGGTGCCACCTCATGTGTTCCCAGCCCTCATCCCTTCCCCCAGAGACTTGGCTTCAGTTGCCAAGCAAGTCTTATCCATCACAGACTCTGGTGTCTTGTCACTCTCAGAGAGCCCCATTCCCCGCTCTCTGAACGCTCCACCCTGCATCGGGCATTCAGGTCTTTTTCTGGTGGTCCGTGGGGCTCAACTCCACTTAGTGCATTTCAGAGAACTCAGGCAACATAGAGCAGAGGCCTCTAACCATCGCCTGGCCTGGTATCAGGGGAATGTCTTGGCTCATTTGGGAACCCCAAATGACAGACAAGGGAACCCCCCTGTCTCTCTGTCTTCTAGGGCTGCCCCCTCCCCTCAGGGCCATGAGAGGATTTGGCCTGGCACTCACTCCCTCTCTGGATCACTCCTATCTTCTCAAGCTTCCAAATCACACGAAAGAGGCAGAGCCAGTGCTTGGAAAACATAACCCAGCACAGTCCCAGTTATTTGAGAGACGCGCGGGCCTGGACCACAGGGGCAGCCTGACCTCAAAGCCCTCTCACCCCAACGTATGAAGGCCTGAACAAAATCCACGTCCTTTCAGCTAAAATGAGCAGGAGCCAAGCTTATCACTGTTTCTCAATACATGCTCCTGCAGCTAAAAGGCAGGCATGGCTCTAGAGGGAGAAGGAGGAGGGAAGAGGGAACTTTACAGTGAAGAAACAGCAGCCTCAGAAAATCTCTGAAGGGCGAGGCCCCACAGGCATCCCCAGCTCCTTGGGGAGGAACAAAGGGTCTTACTGGGCAGGTATTCTCTATGCAAACCCCAGTGTCTGGGGCCCAGACAGAAAGTGGCACAAAGGGAAGGGAAGCCGGCACGTGGCCAGGCGGGGCAGAAGGAGATGAGGTGCAGAGCTAAGGCCTCTGCCGGGCCTCCGGCCTGCAACCCGGGCCCACAGTGACTCTCTGCCATGCCACACCTACTGGCTGCCAAGTTCACTCCCCAAAACCTGAGATTTTCCCTTAAAACGGAGTTTGGGGATGTGGGAATCAGTGTGGCTGGCCAGCCTGGCTCAGGTGGTCATGAAGAGCAGCCTAAGTCCCTCAGAGCCCCTGGAGCTGCCTTTGAGGCAGAAATACAGAGCATCTTTGAGGACTCCTGATCTGTCTGTGGGAAGGTGGGCAAAATGCTCAAAATACAATAAAAGCAGGGGCCAGGACCCAAAGGGGTCTCACTCCCTGTTTCTCTGGACTCTCTGTGGGGTGCCTGTGTGCAGGATTTCTGCAGAAGATAGTCCATTTTGTTAAGCCTTTGAATATTCAAATTGAAAGTATCGCGCAATCATTGATTGTCAAATCATGGGTTTCTAGAGGTTTTAAATACTTGGCATGAGGGGGAAAAAACTCAAACCTATACCCGAAGGTATAAAACATTAATTCTGTTTGTCTCCTGCTCCAGGAACCTGGGTGCAACTGGATGCTTTGTGAAACTTTAAAAATGTTGCATCTCTGCTTCTCTCCTTGCACAGGAGCCCTCCTAGGCGCAAAGTCCCTGCAGCTGCAGCATCCAGCCACCGGCCCAGCTTCTGCTGACCACGATGTCCGGTAACTCTGGGCTGCTTCTCCTGGGGTGGGGTCATGCGGGCCAGGGGCGTTTCGATCCCAGTGTATTTCCACAGCTTCTCCTGCATAGAACAGAGAGGCACGAAGTCAGGGCATGCAAGTATGAGCCCGGGATCCTGAGAGGGCCCGGGCCACGCTGTGGCCGCTCCCATTCGGCACCTGCTCCCAAGGGCAGAGGTCCAGAGGCCGAGTTGGCCGCTGCGGACGTCCGTGTACCCCGGTCCCCCACCCGTCCTCCCACTTTGCCACAGTTGTGACCCTGGGACTTCGCGGCGCGTACTCTGCGCGCCCAGAAGCGGCGGCTGGGGGAGCTAGAGGCTCACGGTGAGGCCGGGACGCGAGCAGGGCGCGCCGGGCGCACACGCCTGAGCTGTGGCGGTCCCTGTGCGACCCCGAGCCGCGCCCGCTACCTGCAGAGCCGCGACCCAGGCGGGCAAGTTGGGAGGAGAGACTGGACCGCGGAGAGGGCGCGGCGCCCAGGCCCTGAGGGCCGGGCACGGGATTCCCTGTGTCTGGGCGACGACTAGCGCAACCTCCATTGCTAGGGAGACCCCTAGCTCCTGGGACATGGCCAGGGGGGCTGCCTGCTGTCCGGCTGCGGTCTCCGCAGTGACCAGGCGAGGCGCTGGCGGCCTGGCACTGTCCCCAAGCGCCCAGGCTGATCGCGCGGCCGCCCCAAGGCGCGGGGCCTGTGGCCCCTCCCCGCGCGATTCCCCCAGCGCACGCTCCAGGGTCGAGGTCAGGGCCGGAGTAGCACTGGACTCCTGTGGCCACCCCCAACCTCGAAAGCTCGCCCGGCCCGGCGTGGCCTAGCAGCCCGGCCCAACCTACTCACTGCGGCTCAGCGGGGCCCGCCCGGGGCCGCGGCTGCCCCCGCTCCCGGCGCGCAGGCACTCTCTGCCCGCCGACCCCTCCGGCCTGCGCTCGGCCTCTCCCGCGAGCGCGGCAGTCCCGCCCGGCCCCGCCAGCCCCAAGGGCGGCCCCTTCCGGAGGGCGGCCTCCCGATGGAGTGCGCGATCCTCGGGGGCCCGGCCCGGCCTTCCCGGAGCTCGCGCCGCGCGGACTCGACTCGGAGCCTCCGTGCGCCGCGGAGAAATGCCTGCACCAGAAAGGGAGGGGGTGGGGAGAGAAGAGAAGAGAGCAGGAGCGGGGCCGAAGGAGGGAGGAGGAAAAAAGATGGAGAGCGGCAAAGGCGGAGAAAAGGGGCGACGGAGAGAAGGCAGAAGGAAAAGATAGACGGGACGGAGGGAGGGATGTCCCTGGGCCTGGTCCCTTTACTGGGTCAGTGTAGCAGGTCCCTCACCGGCCCAAGGGCAAAGCTCGCCAAACCGCACCTGTCCGCTGCCTGCCCCAGGGCTGGCTTTCAGACCAAGGGCACATAGAGGTCGGAGCCTCCCCAGGAGCCACGCCTGGTCTGGTGGAAAAGGAAGGGGCTCAGAGCTTGCACACGAGTGGGAGAATCCCGGTGGGGTGGGCTAGGGCAGCTACTCAGATCAGAGAGAGCGCCCCTGCTCCAGCGCCCAGCCCCTCCCCAGGTCCATAATACCCTTTCCCAGGCCAGCAGGCTGGGCCCAGAACACCAGGTTCCCCTAACTTAGCCAAGATGGGGAGCTCTCCTAGACTGGTCTCCACATTCCTAAGCAGAAAAACCTGTGTGCTAGTGGTTTAAGGAGAGGGCCCAGCCTGAGGTGGGTGGCCCCACAGATTTCCATAGGTTCTGTCCCCACTGGGGCCCTGGACACCTGCCCAGCCTCTAGAGCTTCATCCTTTCAAGTTTGAGAAATTTGAGTTTCTTTCCCACCTGTCTTTTAGCATTCTCTTTGCAATCTCCAAACCTAGAAACCTGACCTGAGGTGCTGTAGTCTATAAAGAGGACCTCCACACCCCAAACCATGCACTTGACCACTGACTCAGTTGCCTTTCCCCAGAAAAACCGAAAGTGTATCAAGGTGTCCGGGTGAAGATCACGGTGAAGGAGCTGCTGCAGCAGAGAAGGGCACACCAGGCAGCCTCAGGGGGAACCGTAAGCATAAACCTTTCACTCGTTCAGCCCAACTCGTTCAGCCTCATTCAGCCCTGTGTCTGGGAAGGTATAGGAGGCCGCCCTAGGACCCAGTCGCCCTCTCCAGACCTGGCCTTCCTCAGCTGTTCTTATGACTTCTGTGCCCAGCTTCATCCCAGTACATCACAGCAAGCCACAAAGAACAGCTGGGGCATGTTGTGGGGCTCAGGATGTGGGGGAGCCCACTCCTCACTGATCATAGTTAAGCATCAAGGGCTTGTTGGTCCTGTGCAAGGAGAGGAGCAGCCAGCAGGTACGTAAGTCGTTATTCTGTTAGGAAGACAGTGTATGTGCCCTCGCATATCCAAAGAAAATCTCTCCCAGAAACTCATTTCATTTTAGGGAGGCCTTCAAGGAGGGAATCTCTGTGAAACATCCCCCCCTCCCTCCTCATTCTTCGAGAACCCAGCCTCAGAGGTCATTTATCTGTAAATCACCAGGCACTGAAAGTTCCCGGCAGAAAGGGGCCATGTATCTGCAAAGGAGACAGCTTAGAATATAGAACTACCTCCTTATGATGGAATGAAGCCGGAAGCAGTTTCGGTTATGACGAGATGGATCTGGGCAGTCACAAGGGTACCTGCCACTTTATATACGTCCTAAAACAGATAGTGCTGCCAGGATCGCTCAGGGCAGCAGCAGAACCAAACAAACTAGCTAAGATTATCCTCCAAGAGAGGGCAATTCATCATACCATTACTTGTGGCTTGGTTTGGGTGTGGATTTAGGAAATTACAGATGGGGCCCATATTGCCAGTGTTAGGATTGGTGTTGTCTCAAGCTTATTGGCATCTGCCCCACAATGGTTTTTGTACCTGATGCTATGTGCAACGCATGACTTCATGAAATGGGCCTTTGTGGGAAGAGGCTAATGATGTAGGGGCAGTGAGCACAAGTTCTAGAACCTGTGGACTGGTTCTCAGCTCCTCCGTGGTGTGTATCCTCTAGCAAATTATTCAGTCTCACTTGCCTCAGTTTCTTCATCTTTAAACTGGAGATAATAGGATTTTGTGAGGGTTAAATGAGTTATTGCATAGAAAACACATAGAAGATTTCCGCTTAGTAAGTGCCCACAAAATGTTAGCTATCATAATTATCATTTGTGAAAAGTGACTAAAATAAAATTACAACCAAGGATTGAAAGCCAGCTGTTCAGTAATGTTCATTCACAGCCTTTTCTCAGAGTTTAGAATTGAGTTCAGGTGTGAGTTCGCTGTGCTGTGGCACGTACGGCACAAATATTACATTTGCTGGAGATGTTAGTACTTTTGTATGCAGAATTTCAGCTAACGCAGTAAAACTTCCTTGCATTTTTATAGGGTTTTACAGTGGTTCTTTTAAAGCACTTTCGTACATTCATGGTTTCATTTAGGTCTTATAACAACCACAGGAGGTAAGTAGATTAGGGATCTCTATGCTTATATTACAGCTAAAGTTCAAAGTCTTGCAGTTACTTGTGGTAGAGCTAGAAATAAGACCAAGGTCTTCTTATTCTTAATATAAAAAAAACTTCCCACCTATTGGTTCCCTAAATTCATCTTTCTGCAGATCGAGCTGTGCTGAGCAGGACTGGTAGCCTCAACCATCAACTCTTCAATTCAGAGATGGTTATAAAATTAATAAAACCAGGAACAAGGGAACTGGGAAATGCTTCTGGAGTGAAAAAAAAAAATCATCAAGATGTTCATAACAAAATGTAATCTTTCATTAAGGAGCTTTAGTACATGGTAGAATTCTGCTTCAGCTGCACCTGGAGAAGTCTCATTTTGGGCATAGCGATTTTATTGCTGTTGGCCTCTTCCAGGTTGGTTTGGCTACTGTTCCCTTGTTAGCTAGCCACAGGAATGAAGAGCATGGGTAAAACATTTCATCGTGTATCTGACCAGTATCTGTTCCCTGGAGCAGTGTGACTTATCTAAGTTTTTCTGAATTTCCCCCTGAGAAATAATAAAGCAGTACTTCTGAACCAGTGCCTTGCAGGAACATTCAGAGCAAAGCCTGCTTTACTTGGCTTCCTGGAAGATTCTATCTTCCCATGCCTTCACAGGCATGTAGGAGTAACACAGAGATGGTTTAATTACAAGAGCAGATGTAAAATCCCTCACTGGGAACCATCAGAAGGATCTGGGATTCTAGGAAAGCTGTGAGGGTATAGTCAGTAGGGAAGGATGGCAGATCCCAGGAGATGATGTATTGCCTGCTTCTTGGTGTAGATCTTTCTGGTTTAACAGAGATGATCTCCAATTTGTTCGATGGTTGAAGGACCCCTCTGGGAAGCTTTAAGCCAAGGAGAGAGTTAATTTTATCAAATATACAAAGCAGGAAGAAATTTATCTTAATCTGTTATAAAGTCAGAGTAGGATCCACAATTTGAAATTTTAAGAAGGCAATCGTGAATGGAAGTTATAGATTGAGACAAATATCAGGATCTCAAACAGTGCCAGGAGAAACACGTGCATGCCAGATTTGTAAATTTCATTTAAAAACTTATTTTGGCCAGATAATTTGCAAACAGTCCTACACATACACACACACACACACACACACACACACACACACAATTCTTTTCCCTTTAGGATAAAAGGAAACTTGAGTTAGTACTCATCAAAAGATATAATTTACCCTTTTTTTTTACCATTAATTTTTTTTTAAACAGCCTTGATGTGTTGTTATAAATTGTAGATTGTGGATTTTTGTGCTGTTTGAAATCTAAGAAAGAGGTGCCTTTCTTTGTATTCTTGGAGCAAAGTAGAAAGTGAACCCATGACTAGAAAGATCATATCAAGTAGGATATTGTAAACATACCTGAGGGAGATAACATAGGGAGGCAGACAAACACACCATTCGGGGGACAAAGGGGGTTAATGAGAGCTCCACAACGAAGCAGATTTTTTAAAACCCACCCCTTCCAAGTCCTTTAGCTCAAGCTGCAGCCAAATATTTGCATACAGAGCTGGTGAAGGATTCCAGCTTCCTGGTTCATGACATTACAGCATGGATCATTTTCAAAATTAACACCACCTCCTTTTTCAGCAGTGGCTGACAGTGCAGTCTCCCAGTGGCTAGGAGGACAGGAGTAAGTACACCCTGTAACCCAAGAGAGAGGTGTGGTGAGCTCAGCTTCCCAGCACAGAATCACAGAGCAATGCTGGTCCCTTTAAACTTTAAAGCCACCACCTGCAACGTAAGGGGGAAAAAAAAATCCTACATTACTCGTTTAGTACAATTATCAATTCAACTGGAAGATAAAGGCTGCTTGACTTTAAATAGGAACAGTCTCATAAACTTTAAGTATCTAAACCTTATAGTGAAAAAAGCAACTTTTATAGAAAATAGTAAAAGAAAATACAGAGTTAAATATTTCCTGACCATTAACTAGAAATGTAGATAGGCTCCAGCTTACTGATTACAGCTTTAAGAAAACATTTTCTATTTTAATATTTCATAGCTAGTAAGAACATGTGAATATTTTGAGCTATCCAGGATTAACAAAGTTCAGAATTGTGTCCTTTTGGGAAAAAAAATTCCTAAGGCTAAGCCACCAGATAGTATATGAAAATTTTGAGGAAAATGATTGACAAAGTTATAGATAGTTGAGATTAAATAAATGTTGGTTCTCATTAATTTTAAATAGTTTAATAGAAAGGCTCTTCACTGAGTTTTCTCAAACTGTTACATTTCTGTAATATAAAAATCATTTAAATTAATTTTTTGTTAAAATTAATAACCTTTAAAATTTAAGTGGGAGAATTTGATATTAGGAAAAAATCCCCCAGCAAACATAAAAATTGAATCTAAATAAAATATAACATTGGTTGTATCTAACAACAGCAAGTCTTTTTAGAAGAAAGAATCTGGCTTACCTTAGAGCAGAAAGCAACATAGTTCACGTCAAAATGTCTTAACTTTCCTTTTACAGAACTTTTATTTCACTTTGCTTTATGGTCATATTCTTGCTTTGGCAGCTGTCTGGAGGCAGCCGTGTCCACCTGTCCGACTCAGTCGCACCATCTTCTGCAGGTCAGTACAGCCAGCATTACAATTCCCTCACAAGCTCTTTCAAAGGTCCATCTAGAAAGCCTTTCAGTGCTTGATTTAGGGGTTAAAAGAGGCACCACCATTTAATTGGAATCCAACCAATCAGAAGGTGAAAAATGCATAGTCACTCCAGATGCAAACCCAGCAAGGAAACAAGTGCAAAATTGTGTCCTCCTTTCTGAACTGTCTATTCTCTGCTGTCTGCTCTGTCCCAGGAGTTTGTTCTTCACATTTAGTCCAGGTCCTTGTCTCCAAGTACCTAAGCTTGATTAAAAGAGCAGAATTGTTTTCAGAAATTTATATTTTTTAGTGTATTGTTAGATGGAATACAGAACATTCTGAGATCCTAGAAGAATGCCTTTGCCCTTGTTGATTTAGTCTCTAGCCGACAGGGGCTTCCCTCTCCTTTTCTCTCTTCCCAGAAAGCAGCTCAAACAAGTGTAAGTTTTCTCAGCCCAATACGAATAACTCTATTACATAAACACTCCTACCTATGCCACTCAACAGCCAAGAGTTTAAGGAGGTCATATATAAGGAAACCTGTGCTTATGGTCGCTCACCACTGAATGTGCCACTTTGACTTCACCTTAAAGGAACCTTGAGACTTCAAAAAATCCAGTGTTCCGTCGTCCCTCTGATGGACACACTCTAAACCTATCTTCTTTGAGCATTTAAGGGTAATAATCAGAAATTGGGCCTATTAATACCAAAATGGAAAAGGAATCATGTTTTCAGAATTATTCTTGTTTGGTATTTAACAATCTATATTAATTTCATTATCATGTTAACATATTCACTAAGAAAACATTTTTGCTTTTTGTAATTTGAAACAAGTAATACTAACTTGTACTCTACATTCCTGGCTTCCATTTTTATAATTTGTGTTGCCATTTATATCAATCCTCGAAATTTAAGTTACTGAGTCAGTGTGAAAAGTTTGGGAAAGCAATAACCCTAAATCAAGAGGATTCTGTGCCATGGCATCAGAACTTTTCCTAAAGCCTCCAACAACTCTGTAAGCTACTTCTGAGAGGTTTACTTGAACTGCAAGACAGGGGCCGGAGTAGATGCTTCATAGTCCAAGAAAGTGGAATCTTGAGCCATTTGACTGTGACAATTGGCTGCAGGTTGGATCACCATTCTTTTATTTTTGCCCTAGGCACATTTACAGCCAATTTCCACATTATTAACCAGATTCATTTCCTTGGGACTTGAATTAGCTAAGGCAACTAAAAACTCCAAATTACCTGCCTGTTTACTTTTCAAGAATTTCTTAAACCCCCCTTTCCCCTAGACATAGTAAATATTCAGAATATAGAATAGAACTCCATTCAAATCCATAAGTGCAATTTTTAAACAAAAAAATCTGTCGTTTTCCTTTCTCTTCTAGGACTGTATTTTGAGCCTGAACCGATTTCTTCCACGCCTAATTATTTTCAACCCCGAGAATTTCCCAGTTGTGTTTCTTGTGAAGAAAACCCGAGCTACCTCGACCAGATCTTTGATTCCTACCTTCAGACAGAGACACACCCAGACCCTCCGCTCAATTCCATGCAAAGTACTCCACACTACTTCCCAGACAGCTTCCAGGCTGCCCCTTTCAGCTTTAACCAGAGCCTGGTAATTTATCTCAGTTCTTTACAAAACCTGATTATTGCTTACTATGGGGTAGTAATGCTTTGTAAGGGAATTCGCATAATCTCATGAGAAATCACACAAACACCATCAGCAAGGAAATTATCCAGGAAACAAGCAGACAACCATTTAAAACTCAATGGAGGTGGGAATAGCCACACATTGCAGGGCACAAACTTTTGGATACACACGTGCAGTAATAATGATTTCCCAAGTTGGCTACGCCCAAGTAAGTTGGTGTGTGGCAATAAAAAGTTTTCCTGGCAATATTCATGTAATGTTTATAAAACTGTAAAGTTAAGACATCTACTCATTTGGAAATCACTCATTTCAACAACAGCCCTTGGATTTTTGAGTTCTTGAAAATGGAATTAAGGCTCTTTCTACACAGTACCAAACTGTCATCCTGATGAGGAATTTTTGTTTTATTTTGACACTAAAGTGGTTCTACTAACTGGTTGTTTTGTCTGCTACAGGCAAAGGACTGTTTTGGGTCTGAGATGGTTAGTGAAAAATGAAGCCCGAGTACTTGAAAGAATTTGGCTTGTCTGTTCTTGATGGACCTCAAACATTTGAAAACATGTTATCATTTAAAATGGAGTAAGGTTTCCATTAGTAGATACCAGTTGTTTTAGATGTCTTTTAGATACTCTTATAGTTTTTTTTTAACCTTAAAAAGTAGTTTTTAAAAAATGTAAATACTTTTTTCTTTTGGTTTGTCAAAAGTCTGTGTAGGTATCAGACTAAATTTTAAAGGGATAGGAAGTTAACTGCACAGAATATGCATACAAGGCCCCAGTCATCCAGTTCCCTTCTAGCTTCCAAATTAGGCTTTGTCAGTAATAACTATAGACCCACTTAAGAGAAAGCAGAATACACCTTTCTCCTCAGGGAACAAGACTTTAGTGACAGTGAGAGTAGTTTCGCATCTTAGAGTCTCCCAGACGGTGGGTCATTGAGGATCCCAGTTCTACCTGTGTATGTTCACCTTGTTCTCCAGTCAAGGGTGTGGAGAAACATCCACGGAGCCACCTGCAGCTTATACTGTGACACGCAGCAGGATTTGATGTGCAGGTGACGGGGAGCACAATGGGATTTTATGGTTTAAGAACAAAGCATCCTCTTAAGTATGGTTATAACAAAGGCAGCCAGTGGAGCAAGGCAGTTTATTGTTGGGAAAGAAATAGGTAAATATAGAATGTGGTATCATGAAATCACACAGTCAGCAAATAAAATTACTTCTGCAGACTTGGGTTGGGTTGGGTGTTCTGTTGTGTTTTTTTTTTTTTATCCCTAATGTTCTTACCCTGGGTTAATAAATCCACTCTATTCAGTTCTTTTAATCCTGTCTAAGTTATCAAGCTCTTTGTTCCTTGGTTTTTATTTCTGTAGACCCCCGGATCGCCTTCAGATTGCTCCACTCTTTCTGGTTCCTTAGACTACAGTTACTCGCCAGCTCAGCTACCGTCATATGTTCCGGAGAATTACAATTCTCCCCCTTCTCTGGACACCAGAAACTGTGGCTATCCCTCAGAAGACTATTCCTACCCTCTCCTGCCCTCTCATGCCCAGTATGACTGCTTCTCCTCAGCCACCACCTCTGTCTGCTACTGTGCGTCCTGTGAGGCAGAACACTTGGACACCATCAGAGCGTCAGAGTATTTTTCCTATCCCAGCACAGATTATGTGAACTTTGCTCCCTCAGCAGCAGGAACCAGTGATTTCTATAAAAGGGAAACAAACTGTGACATCTGCTATAGTTAATAGAAATCACATTCATTTGGAACATGGCGTGTGTATATCTACTTTTCTACCACTCCAAGTGACAACTCAAAATATGCAACCTGTTAACAAAATATCACAAGCACGGTTTACATGTCACCATTTTCAACTTTCTGACACTAATTTAGGCATAAACGTGAAGTCCTCAGACCCAGTCGTGGTTCCACTCGTACTTTGTATGCTTATAGTTAAAATTTTTGTAGGGAATGTTCAGTTGTTTGACTTTTCTGTGTAACGAACAAATACTAATTTTTTTACTAATAAATAATTTTGTATTATCAAATGTTGATTTCTTTTTTTAATTTTCCACTATTACTTTCCAATTGGTTAGAATATCAATTAATTCTGGAAATCACTAATTACTCTTCAGTAGTTTAATCTCACTTACTCATGAATTTAAAATTATTTTAATGTGATGGGATGCCTTGGGTCCCAGGCGATGGAGGGTAGACACAGCTGTGGTGGCTGAAGAGGGAAAGTCGGCCTCACCTCTAAATGAGAGTGTACGTCTTGGACCAACATCAGAGAAAGACGTTTATGAATCATTAGTCTCTCATATCTAACATCAGCCAATGAAATATTAATATGACCAAAAAGCACATCTTACCTACAGCGATGTTAACCTGTAGATAATTCTTTTTCATTTCCAAAGTATTGTTTTGTAAACTTTCTGGGCAAATACTTGATCTTTCTCTTGAGAGCTGCCATGCAGCTGATGTATCACAAAGCTTAGAATTCATTATAAATACGTTATATGTACCTTTATATAGAAATACTTTACATATGAATTTCTGCTTTAAGTCCTTAAATATGTATCCTTCGTGTTTACAGATTGATTTATTGGATTGACCATGTTGTTTACAACTGAATTTCAGAGTTTACTTCCTCTGATCAATCTATTTAAACAAGCACAACCATCTTTCAAGATGAAAATGAGTTACTTAAGCTACCTATGCTAGACTGTACTGTTAAATCCTGTTTGCGGAGGGCATGAAGACACAGGACTTAATCCCTGCAGTGAAGTCTGGGGGGCATTTCCCATGTCCCAAGGTTCAGCACAATGGCAGCAATACTGGCACCATTGGCACTGGCCACAGCTACCATTTTCTGAGCCCTTCCTGTGTGCCAGAATTATCTAAGGGCCTCTCACACTTAGTCTTATTTCATCTTCACAACAACATTGATAACAAAATGAGGAGTCTGAGGCTCAGAGATGTTAAGTCACCTGCCCAATGTCACACAGCCAATGAGCACCAGAGCTTTGGTCTGAAGGACACCAAAGCCATGCTTTTTACTCATTCTCTGGGGGTGAAAAATCTGAGCCACCATTTGTGAAAGACTGTTCAGGAACCTGTGGAATCATCCTCTATTAAACCCTAACTTCCTCATACACACAAAGGTGTGTCCCCATGACAACTAGTCAGAGCTCACCAGAAGGGCTGAACTATCCACAGGATATAAACATGCCAAGCACAAGAGTTGCCAGAGTCCCCTATTTGGGGACCAAAGGGAAGAAGCTGACCAACTGCCACTTCAGTGGGCCTCTTTCAATCAGGAGACAGATATGCTTTCGAAATGACACTGTCTGATTGTCCCCTCCCTGGGGACTCCACTAAAGCTTGGGCAAACAGGACAAGTTGCAACCTGTCTCACAGAATTAGATGTGCCAGGGAAACAGAACAATTACCACCTTTCTGAGATGCCAATAAAACTACATTTTTAATAGTTTCAAACTAAATTGAAACTGGCCTGTTGTCAAAAATATCTCTTCACACAGACCAAAGTTCCTGCTTACCCTCCACCCCACCCCCGCAGCTGTCCCAAAGGGACAAAGAGCAGAGAACCCAAAGATGTCCAGTGGTTGGCACCAAAATATCCCTCTCCTGGATGCCATTCCTTTTTTTTTTGATTCCCTACTTCTATCCTTTGCCTTCTGAATCAGCTATCTTGCAGCTCTCACAGAGAACATTTTCCCACCTCTTTGTTTCTTGTTCTTTCTTTACATTGCCTTAGTTTTTGCCTAAATCTAGTATGGATTGAGATTCATAAAAGAATGTGAGACAAGGGCTTATATAGCTACTGTGCATCATGACAAATAACTCTACCTTAAAATGATCTTTAAGACTTTTTCAAAAATTTGAGCCAACTGGTCACCTGGCACAGTGTGAAGTGGATGGATGCTGCCCACCAGTCTCTTAACCACTTCACCTCACACAGAACAGCTCAGGACCCCTACAGCAGCACTGGGACAACCTAGAATGCCTCTCATCAACATATGCCTGGGAAGCTGGACAAAATACAGATGCCTACACCTCGGTGTGAGAAAACATGAGCAGTAAGTCTATGGTAGGGCCCAGGCATCTGCATTTTTTAAATGTACCTAAGTTGATTCTGATATAGGCAGTCCTCTGTCTACATTTGAAAAACATTGACATATGCAGTGTCTGAATTGTTCACTTGCAGGACCTAGAAGCACAATACTAATAGCTTACATAGACTAAGCTCTTTCTATGGGCCGGTGCAGCAGGCATTATCTCATTTAATCCTCAAACAACCACACAAGATAGATACTATTATTGTCCTCATTTTTATCAATGATGAAACTGCAGCTTGGAAAAATGAAGTAACGTGCCAAAGGTCACACAACCTATAAATCAGGGTAAGAATTCTCCAACTCAAGTTGTCTGATGTCATGGTCTCAACTTCCAATAGCCTCGGTATACTTTCCACGCATTATACCTGGAGGAATAATCTGTTTGGAATTTGATCTTTTGCCTTAAAAGTCACATATACATCTGTAGCCAGTTCCTCATACCACAGAGGCATTTAGTAAGATTATAAATGGAAGTTCAAATCAATGAATAATTTTGTTATTCAGAACCTTTAGAGAGATTAATAAAACAAAATATTAAGTGCTTACTGTATGCAAGACAGATTACGTGCCTTCAAAATGCAGTCAAGGGTTAAAAGGGGATGTGATTTTAAAAATTTAAAACTGGAATTTCAGTTAGAATGGGCATGGACTGATTTTCAAATTCTTGGGAAGTGTAAGTTAGGAGTCAACCCTTGAAGCCTGAGAGAGATAAGATGAGACAATGTTGAGAATAGTAAACATTTGGAAACTATTACCTCAAGCGATGGCCCAGAGCGGCGACATCTTGGCAGCGGGCCTAGGCCTGCAGGTGGACATCAGAAAGCAAGGAGTAGATAAGGGTAACTGAAATGATGGAGCCGAGGTGGAGGATGAGGAGGAGGCGGAGGTGAGGTGCTATCTTACGATAGAAAATATTTTTTAAAATCATTATTCAGTCTAGAAAGATGAAGGCTAAAAAGAGTGAGAATCAAAGCCAATGAAAATTGTGAATAATAGAGATTAAAATAAACATGGATTTACCATCATTTCTAAATCCTCAAACCCTATGTAACCCCCAGCACAATCCCTGGCAGGGCTGCTCAGGAAAGTCATCAACTCTCACACTGCCTCCCTTCCTCTTACAGAGAAAGGAATGGAGATGCCCTGTCTAAAAACAAAGGAGATTCGGTCTGCAGTAGGTGGGAGGGTGGGGAGTTGGGCCAGTATCTCAAAGCCCTGGGGGCTAGATTTTGGTGTGGCCGGAGGGAGCCATTCAGGGCTCAGTGGCTCTGTGCTTTAAAAGGCAGAGTGAGTGGCCCCATTTCTGATGCTCCAATAGGCCTCTGGGCAAGATGTAGGGGCTGGAAGATGAACAAATCTGAGAGGACACAGCTCTGCATAATAATAAAGCATCAAACTCGTTGAGGGCAGGAATCTGTGTCTGTTTAGAAAACAGCTTTTCTTGCTTAATGTGAATAGAGAACATGCTGTTGGTCCTTGGGAAATGTGGAAGAGTGTGTATGTGAATGTATGTGTGTGTGATCCTCTTGTTGCCACCTGGATAATCCGGAGGAAAGAGGAGACATCTGCCCTTTAACCTGTCCGGGTTGGTCCTAGAATGCCAAAGCTCACCTGGGACTGTCCTACCAAAGCCACCACCTCCCTCCCACATTGTGTAATTCTTGGTTGAATAAGCCAGATTTTGAGAAGAGCTCTGCTGTGGGTCACTCAAGGCCTAGGATCATCCTGATGAGAGGAAGGAGATGAATCCCAGGGAGAGATCAATTTGTGGGTAGGCGATACTTTCCCTAAAGGGGGCTAGGGTAAGAATTTCACTGTAGTCGTGCAAAGAAGGAGTTCTCTGAAAAGAGGGCTTAACAGAGGACAGAAGATTTAGAATAAGAGTTAGGGTACATCCTCAATGGGATCCCTCTGAGAAGTTTAATTTTAAGGTGCTTTTCTTTCAGACTGGGAGCATAGTCCCATTCAGCACTATGTTTGAATTTTTCTCCTCCCACTTTATAATTCCTATTGGTTAACTCCAACTGTTCAGGAAAGTCTGGTTCCCCAGAGAGCTTTGGGTGGAAGTACAGAGAATCAAGGGAAGAGCCTTTAAAGAGAAGCCTGCCCGATTCACCCTTCTCTGCTGAGACCTGTGCAGAGCTGGTGGCATGTATTGCAGGGGCTTGTGGTCCAGGGCAAACAGGAAGTGATCTGCAGCCAGTGAGAGGTGGCCATGGTGGAGCGAGATCATGGAAAAGAGCATCAACTGAGAAGCAGCGGCGCCCAGATAGAGCATGAGGATCACAACGCTTGAAAGTGAAAGAGGCTGGAGCTTGGGTCACTCAAATAAGGGGTAACTTCAGGACAAATAAAAGCAAGTTTTTACACAGCGGGTAATAACCTGAAAAAACCGTACAAGTTGAACATTTAAATAGTTTCAAAAAGGGTCGAGATTAATTTGACTGATAATATTTGAGGGCTGGAAATGGACCCACATCATTTAGTTCAGTAGTTCTCAACCTTGGCTGCACATTATAATCACCTGAGGAGGTTTTAAAAAATATTGACGTCCAATACAATCGCTAGGGTGGGATTCGGGCATTAGGAATTTTTTTAACTCTTTATTTTGAAATCACAGGAAGTTACAAAAATAATACAGAGAGCCCTATGTACCTTTCACGCAGCTTTCCTCAGTGATGACTGACATCTTAATTAACTATAGTACAATATCAAAATGAGGAAGTTGACATTGGTACAATACTGGTACCAATGGTACAAGATCTAGACTATAGATCTCATTCAGTTTTCACCATTTTATGCATTTATGTGTTGTAGGTATGTGTGGGTTTTTATGAAACAAGCATTAGGTTTTTTTAAA